AGAGGAAGCTGATGCGCAAGATGCCGTGCACCATCTCCAGGGGCACCCCGATCATCAGCTGCAGGAGGGCGTTGAACCCCAACTGCTCCAGCCTGCCCGGGCACAGGAGGGGACGTGTGATGGCTCAGCCCACGCAGCCCCTGGTGTCCCCATGTCCCCTCCTCCCCACCTCCAGCAAGGACCTACCCCACGTGCATGAACATGTAGGTGAGGAAGCGCCAGGCGCGCGCCCGGTGCCCAGGGTGGTAGACCAAGGGGCTCTTCATGTACTCGGGGTGGTAGGTCTGCAGCACCCACTTGTTCAGCCGCGCCCCGTAGCAGAGGAACACGATGATCTGTGCCAAACCCCACAGCAGTAACTCCCAGCACCACTGAGATATCCCCACCCCTCCCGTCCTGGGCAAGGCTCACCCAGTCCCTCTGCCCTAGGTCTGAGCCCCCTCATGGCAACCAGGACATCAAAACTGGGGCCATCCATCCCCATTGCCCTGGCTCCGAGTCCCTATATGGGCTTTAGGACATCACAACTGTGGTCACCCATCCTTTCCACCCCAGATCTGAGCCCTCATATGGACATCGGCACATCACCCATCCCTTCACCCCAGAGCTGAGCCCCCCTCTGAGCACCAGGACATCACAACCAGGGTCACCCATCCTGTCCACGCTGGGTCTGAGGCCCCCAAAGGTACTGGGACGCTTCAGCCAGGATCATCCTGGGCACCAGCAGGCTGCATGCCTGTGCTCCATACCTGGGTGAGGGTCACGGCTGCCATGAAGACGGGGGGCGGACACATGCGGTGCTGGTAGAAGTACCAGCGCCGATCCATCTCGCAGGGCAGGATCTCATAGGCCACGTAGCGGACGAAGCGTTTGTAGAAGCCTAGACCGGTCTCGTCCAGCAGCACGTCGCGGGGCAGGGCTCGCTGCCCGTTGGCAATAGCACGTTTGAAGCTGCTTGAGCGCTTGCTGCTGATCTGTGGAGAGAGGCCGTGCCCAAGGGGGCCACATGGAGGGGGGCCCGGCCCCGGGGGGCCACAGGGGGGGCGCGGCTGTTGCCCAGCCCCTCCCCGTCACTGCCACTCGATGCCACAGCCCCATGGGACAAGACCAGACAAGCCACCCCCAAGGCCCTGTCATCATCCCATGCCAGGGGAGCCCCTGGGGACTGCCAGTGTCTGCCCTCCTCCCCAGGGGTGCAGGGAGGTGCCCAGTGCCTAC